AAAAATAGTTAAAATCATAATCGTATTATATCAGTTAACTAAATAAAAATTATAACACATACCCGGAATATCCATTAGAACGATGTATGATATCATTAAATTATTATTTATAAGCAAATAAGGTAAATTAAGTATTAATTTGGCACTATTTTTTTTTATTTCCAGTAGTTATAAGTGAATATTTCGTTACATACAAATTATGCTCTAACTCAAATGTTGACTTCTCTAACTTCGTCAGTTTTAAAAATAGAAAAAAACTTTTTATACAAAAATTGTTTGAAAAAAAATAATCTATCCGAATATGTAAAAAAAATAGTGTTTCCATTTAAAAAAAATGTAAGTTGTATTGCGCATGCGCACACCAAAAGTGTTAAAAATTTGAAAATCATAAATAAATGTGTATTTAAGTACTATCTTTCATTCAGTGAAAACCCTATTTCAATACAAAGTCATCGTACTGAAATATTTAGTGGTACCTCTTAGCGTGATCACACTGTATACTTAAAACCATATTTAAAAAAAGTTAAATGGGTACTTAAATTTTTATGATGTAGTAATAGAAACATTTGTTTATGTGAACTGACCTTTTTAATTGCCAATTGTCAATTAGTTGATTTTTTTTGAGTATTTTGATATTCCTATCTGAATCAAAAGTCTATAATATGGACTTTTTATCCATGAAACATACAATTTGATAATTCAGAAACTATTGATTTGACTATATCAATTTATACGCGTCAAATTATCAAAATTTTATCAAAACTAATAGGCTGTTCACGTTTAAAAAATATAATCTTAAATCACTACAGTTTACTCGTTAAATGGTTCATAAAAACTAATTATTTGAAATTATGGCTTTAGTCTATACTTGAAAATTCAAGAAATCAAAAAAACGAATAAATACAATGTTAAGGGATAAAAGAGAAACGAGCTTTCTTGGTGATTTACTCTGTATAATAGTAATAACACACTTAAAATATATATATAAATAAACGTAAACATACAAAAATAAAATATAAATATAGATACTAAATTAATATTTCTACAAACAAAACCTATCACTTAGTATATTAATGATATATATATATATATTAGTACCAATAAGTAAACTTGAATACAGTGAGTTAAATTCTATAAAATTGGAAAATTTAAAACGGTTTAAAAATGAAATTTGGTGTTTCTGAAAGTCCATTTTTGGCATTTTATTAGTCATCAATTTTTAATTATATACTTAATGACAAAAAGTTGATAACACTTGACATTAGAAAATAAAAACAATTTTATGCAATATGAGCAATCGATAACAATATTGTCAGCATATATTATAATGTTTATTCGATCTTTAAATATAACTTAATTGTGTGTTGTATTTATTAGGAATATAATTGTTTTATTTATATATCTAATTCACTTACAAATTTATAAGTACATCAGTATAATACGTGTACCTATTAAGTACTTTTAACTATCAAAATAGTTTTTATCTTCTAATAAACTATCAGAGGCCTTAAATTAAATAATATGTATACAAATATAGGTTAATAATTGTTGAGTATAACAATAATATAATAGTGAAAGTAAAATAATGTGAATAATAATAAATAATAAAACTATAATTAATTGTATTTGTTAATAAGACATAACACGCGATATTAGGTAGGTACCTGGATAATAAAATAATAATTATAAATTATAACAATAATGAACAAAGAAAACTGATATCAAAAAATAAATTCCAATATTAAAGGTATTCGAATAAAAGAATATTAAAATAAGTATTTTTTATGTCCAAATCATATTTTGAATATAATAAACTATAATATTATACGTATGCGTATATCTAAAACATAATTAATTCAAATATTCGTGAAATTTAAAATACAATTTTTAGTGATATTTTGTTCATACTTAGAAAAAAAATCAAAATTTAGTATTTGTTTTAAATACAATATGAAAATAAAGAAACTACGTGTTATCAAATTATATTAATAGAAAATAGAAAAATCAAAAATCAAATAATATGTAAAACGCTAGTATTCTCAATAAAATAATAAAAATTCGAATGTATACTTTAACTTTTGCACAATACTAAACAAAAATTATTATTTTCGACACGATATAATATTATGTTAATTAAGTATAAAATGCACAGATGCAGTGCCTATAGGTATTCCCATATGTACGGGTGAATTAGCGTGCTAGCCCTACACTTAAATAATAAATGTGTCTTATTGTATATGAATAGGTACGTCGTAATATTGTTATAATAAATTTGAAAACAAAAAAAATCGTCTTACCATTATCGTGGGTGAATGGAAAACGTCCGTCGATGAGCGCATGTCGAACGCGTTAAGAGCGGCCGACTGACGCGGCATGAAACCTACTGCTGCTACTGCTCGTGTCGCAGTGACAGTGGTGTAATCCACACGAAATCCGCTGGGAGACCGCTGACCGTCTGTTATAATATTATCACTACGAGCTATAGCTACTGACTAAAACTGTAATAATAATATAATATGAGCGCGCAATGACGATGACGACAGACGCCGACGCCGACCGAAAGATCGCGATGACGTTACAATAATAATAATATTATTATTGTTGTTATGGGGTACGGGGGGTACCTGTACCAACCGGAAGCGAACCGGTGCGTATACCAAGGTATAGTGTTAATAAGTAGTACCATAAACGAACGCGTACCGAAAAACCGTGGTCCACGAATACACACCGTCACTACAGCGGTCGTCCGACAGATTTTCTGTATTTGTTATTAAAGAATATTTGCCCGACGGACGGTAGCGATTTTACCTGCACGAGTTATGCGAATTATGTGTAATAGCTGTAATCAGCGGAAACAATTTGACATGTGGTGCGAAACAAACAATAACAATATTATTAATACGTTTATTATATTCGACCGCCCTAGCACAGGACGATGAAAAACGGTGCACTCTCGGAGTTGCTGCGCGGAAACCGTATACACGCGTACTGCAGCTGCAAATGAAAGTAGGTAGGTAACTCGGACTCACTCTGGACTGACCCGCCATGGCTGCCGCCGCCGCCAGGTATCGTGTGTATAATAATAATATTATTATTTGTGTTGTACCTAACCGCTGCGTTATATCACGGTAAATGTGAAAGTACCAGATGCCCGCCTGTATACGACATCGTTATACCAATATTGTATTATTATTATCCATGTTTACTATATCCGCAAATTAGTTACCAGAGTAAGGCAATAATAGTATTATGGGCACGCCTCGAGGACCGCATTAAAAATCATACTATAAGTGTCAACAGGTTCAATGCACTATCATTTCGATGGACCGTCTGCACTTCATCACCAAGCACTATTTAAACAACTTAAAGTTTTGTATCAGTGGTGTATGTAAGGGAGAAAAGATTCAATACCAACCTCAATAACTCCCAATTTACCTAACTTTGAATACTATACTCCAAAAATTAAATTTTTTCAAATTATTACTTTTAAATTACCTATATTGTTTCTCAAATTGTGTTTTCATATAAGTCAGTAAAGTATTAAAATAAACAAAAGCAGCAATATTAAAAGCTCATTAACGATTATTTATTATTCATCCGTCTCAAAAATATAACAAATAAAATATACTAAATTATATTACTTATTACGTAAGTCAATTGTAAAATTACAAGTATATATAATTATATAAACAATTAACTTAAAATAATTCTGTATACAATTTTATTATTTATTTTAAATGAGCTAATGTTATTTGAAATAACAAATTTCAAAAAATACAATGCTCAAAAACTTTTATTTCAAGTATTTCAAATTTCAAATACCTACGTATTTTAATACTTCTATTAAAATTCCTTACAAGAATGCAGATTAAAACATTATATTCTCTTAAAGTTTTTAATAACCTAACAAGTTCTTTTAAAACTAATTAAAACTGTCGTTTGAATCTACAATACTATATCCTTAACTCGCGTCAAAAAAACTAAACATTAAAATATAAAAACCTATTTTCAATTTTTTTTTTACCTGAGAACAATTGAGTACTGAATTTATTACTTTAAGAATGTTAATCCATTTGATCACGATAATATTACTTCAAAATAAAAATGTTTATACGTCTGTTTATAATTATTTAAAAAAAGTAGATAACGTTCTGCTAAACAGCTAAACAGTAGAGATCGAGTTTTGACTTAACCAATGTTAAATCATTACATACTAAAAATTATTCTTAGCGAAAATGATTTATTACCCTTTATTTTTATTACTTGATATATTTCATGATATATTTATAAATAATTAATTTTATTATCAGTAATATGGTAAGTTGAATACTGATTTACCATAGTGTGGTGTGAATGAGTTATTTTATAAATTGGAAATAACATAAAATATATCTAAATGTATTAAAAATATAATTATGTGTAATAAAATTGTAAATTCTCATGAAAAATATTTTAAATTACGACAAAATAACTAAAAATGTTATTTTTTGTTTAAATATCAAGTTTTTAGAATCTTCCTCATTCTCCAAATATATTCTTAAATATGTATTTTTATATAATATGTGTTATTACCTAAGTTAAAAAATGATTTATGCAAATATTGGAAGGACTAGATTAGTGTAAAATCTCCAATTTTTTTTCAATTCTTATAATTACTTAGTTTAAATATTGCCTGATAATTTTACATATATCAGACATTATATACAATAACATTGTTATTAGATATATTTGTTACCATACCAGATTAACCAATTGATTCTACATGGTAAAAGATGAAGCATCCAAATACGATGTTTGGCTCTCAATAAAAAACATTCTAAGTCAAAATCATTGATATGTATAACTACTTATTTTTTGATCATGCCTTATAGAATGGTTTTAAATAATAATAAAAAATAGTCATATAATACTCCTTAATTGAATAATTAGTATAAGATGTACTTTTAACAAATGTTTAGTTATTATTTTTAAAATTTAAGTTGCACAATCTTCATATACGTATTATATTGAATCATACCTGGATTTATGGTAAAAATAAAAATAATAATCAACAACATTTAAATCAAGTTATGTTACTTTTTTTATTTTCCTTATAAACTTTAAACTTTTAATGTTGAATATGCACTGTTATTTGCTTGTTAATTAATAAATTGATGTTCTTAACGTTGACTTAACTAAACTAACCAAGTTAATTTTTCATTAAATTACCTAAATTTAGGTGTATGACGTACACGCACAAGTTTTCCAGTATACTTTCCGATCAATATTTGACGCTATAAAAAACATAATTTTTATTAATATTCATGGTGAATTTTTTTATATCTAAGATATTTATAAATATTCACAAAACGCTATTGTATATACTTAATAGTTACAATGACAACATTTATTAGAATTAATCACTACTTTTTACTTTACAAATTAACATTCAAATTTTATATTAATTTTGTAAGCCTTAACTTATAAGCTAATTTTTAATTTAGTAGATGTATACACTAGGTATAATTCAGTACCTATTAACAGTTTTGTGGAAAGAAGTGTAGACGATGGTAACTTGTAACTTGATTCATTCTTTATAATGTACAGATGTTTTATTTTATTTTTTAAAAAGAAAGCTAGGTGAATACTCTGCTATACAGAAGATTTAAAAGACAGAAATAAATAATAAATGCATTTATAGACCCACTTTTATATCATTTCCTCTATAATTTACGTTCTATTTACACGTAACGTATTGAATACATGGAGTGGCACATTCCAAAACTCTGTTAAATCATCTTCATCTAAATCCAGTTAAGCACGGACACTTTGTATAGTTGAGTAAAAATATACATTTTAAAATGGGGATACAAAGTATAGAACTGTTTATTATACAAATATAATACGACATTTTACATATAAACACATATAATATAAGATATATAAAATTAAAGTCATGAAAAATTATATCATAAAGAATATAAAAATGCAAATTGGTACGAAAAATGGAGAGTCAAAGTTAATCAAACAAAATCGCTACACACTATCTTCACCCTCCGACTTGCCCCATGTCCTGAAGTTTCATTAACTAATATACTTATCCCTTCATTACAATCGATTAAGTACCTAGGGCTAACTATTGATAGGCGCCTCACTTGGGCACTGCACGTAAAAGAAAAAAACTCGCTCTAAATGCGCGTCATCGGCTACTTAAAACATTATTAAATAATAAACATACCAAATTAAATATCAAACTGCTAATTTACAAATCCTTAATGAAGCCTATGTGGACATACGGCATCCAACTCTGGGGTAATGCCGAGAAATCTTATTTAAATAAAATACAAACCACTCAAAACAAAATCCTTCGCTCTATCACCAATGCCCCACATTATGTTTCAAATTATACTCTCCACTCCGACTTAAAAGTTAAAACTATATATGAATAAGCCAAAACGTTCTATAAACGTTTCTTTCATAAATTACCTTCCCATCCAAATCCTCTTATATCTGGCGTAGCCACTCACACGATTCCAGGAAACCCACCACGGCGTTTAAAAAGAAACTGGTGTAGAGATCTACTTAATAATTAACATAAAAATAATTTTAAAAAAAATTCTAATTTCTATGTATAAATAATCAAAAGAAGTGCGACCACTGGATGGTTTCTTCCCTTACCCCCTATTCATGTCAAATCTACCATAGCACATATTCTTATTATGCCAAATACGTCGATTGTATATTTTCTAAAAAAAAAAAAAAAAAAAAGAATATAAAATTTGATGAGATTTAAACATTATTTAGTATCTAATAATAAGTAATAACATATTTGGAAATATATGCGTGTATAAAGTTGTGACAAATAACTTAAAAAATTATAGATTAAAACGGGGGGGGGGGGGGGGAATAGGTAACTTTGTATTTTTGGGTACGAGTAACCATAAATACTTAAAATGTTAAATAAATGTTTATAAAATTATTATTTTCTATAAATACATGATCTAAATTTAAAAATATTTAGATTAATTTTAAGCTATTTATACTATAAACAACAAACTTATTCATATTCGTAAGTCTATTGACTTATAAATTATAAATTATAATAGTTGATAAGGGATAAAAATAATAAAGGATCATAATAATCAACAATAGAATATAAATTTAAATATAGTTTTGTTTTGTTTTATAAAACAATATATTACATAACAAATATTTTTCATCGATATTATACAAAGATAATATGATATAAAAAATATCCTAGACTCACTACAGAGTCTGTAGTTTAGATCGTTTTCGATTAGAATCGTTTTTTCATATAATATATTAATATATCAATTAATTTTAATTTAACATATCCACTACAGTGACCCACTTGACATCTAATATACAGTAAAGTAGTGCTCACTTGTTCACCTTTTAAAATATTCAAATAATAAAACATATAGGTACGCCTAAACAGACGTCTGCAAGTATGAGATAAAAAAATGTTTTGATTACATATTCTTTTATGCCACGGTACTAAATTCATCCACTCTCCTTTTTATTTTTTTTTTTCAAAACTACTATACAATAGGATTAAATAAAATATACCCACCATAATTCATATATAATGAAATATTTACAAAAATACATATATTTCAGTAGTATTAGTACTAAAATATCGCAAATATAAATGATAAGTGTAATAATAATTATTATTTATAGTATAAAAAAATATTTTCCCTACCAAATTAACAAGAAAATCGACTGAAAAAATGTGTACCTAACGTTAAAAATATATTCCTTATGATGTTTTTATACAATAATAACATAAATATGTGATGTATTGAAATGACGATGACCAGTTTTTGCTTGCAAAAATTATAAACTAATCATTATTCTCGAGCGAATGCGTCCTTGTAATCATATACTATGGAAACAGTAAACAAGAACTTTTACTTTGGTCGAAAGGTATTTTATTTTTCAATTTAAATAAGTAGTTTACCCATTTGCAACACGCCC